TAAAATAGAGGAAAAAGAATACGGATAGTCGTGGACTCGTGGGAATATTAGTGATCCACTCATCCACATAATAGCATATGTGGTATATTCTTTGTCTATACGCAAAATCAATTTTTAAAACAATTTGTTTCTTTAGTTAGCCAATTTATCGCGCTTAATCAATCACTCTTTATAAATGTTTTAGAAGTGTCTAATAAGCATCGTTCACAAGTGTCCTATGTTACTACGTTCTCACCTAACTCGTTTTCTTCCAAGTCAAATCATTTTCCATTAATGTTACCGGTTCACGTTGGTCGCTCCCATAAATTTTTTTAATACGCTAAGACCTTTTCTTTTTTTCCGCTAAGACCTTTTTCGCATATAGTATAATATATAACAGCAACAGTAATATTTTAATATGAACAGTTCAGGCATTTTGGTAGTATTTGTAGTACTCTTTAGCGGAATATTAAATTGCTACAGATGTGTCATGTGTGGAAGAAGACAGGTGCACCACCTCACGTTTTACACATTCTCTTGCCAAAGTACTGTTACCAACCGTTTCTCTTTCTTGTTAATAAGTTTTGACATCTTAGTACAACTCTTATCAAGCCGTTGTTTACGCAACCTGGAAGCAGAGGAATAACATGTTGCACAATTCGAATCACATTGCACCTGTTGCGGCCTTCATGATCATCAATAGGGAAGTCATCAATTCTATAAATGCTTGGAGGCACCGACGAAAGTTCCGTAATCTTATGAGTCTATGGCTCATATAATGCTCCTACTTTGAAGATCTGTTTTTTCTTTGTTTACTTCCTTGTTTTTTATCCCAATTTTTGCCAAGAAACTAAACCTTAGGTATTGCATATGTAATTCCAAACTTTTTCATTTTATATGATATTTACCCACTTTAGCAAAAAAAAAAAAAAAAAAACAACTCTTATTAGGCCCAATAGGCTTTGTTTAAATTCGGCTCAAATCAGCCATTAATTTCCGTATGAAAAGACGGCGTCGTTTTATCTCCGCAGCTTTAAATCGGGTCAAAACGCCATTCTCGTTTCTTCATCAAGCAAAGCTTAAAACCAAATCAAAAAAGCACGAGAAGCATCGTTTCTCAACTCTACTGTTACGGCATGAAAATGACGAGACTACCCCTCTTCGTCGTCCTCCTACTCTTCACCGCAAGTTTCATCACTCCTACGGCGGCGGAGATCAAGTCTCTCACAATTTCCGACGATTCTAGGCCGATGATTCTCTTCGAAAAGTTCGGATTCACTCAGTCCGGTCATGTTAGCGTCTCTGTTTCCTCTGTATCAGTAGTATCTTCTTCGTCTGTTCCGATCCCAGATCCGTCGAGGCTAGGGTTCTTCCTTATGTCCGAGGAATCGCTTCTCCAGGTAGTCTTAGAGATCGAGCAAAACCCTAACTTCTGTGTACTCGATTCCAATTACGTCCTCCATCTCTTCACATTAAAAGATCTCTCTTCTCCTCCTGGTTCCAAATACGAGCACTTGTACCCGGTGATTTCTCCGAACGAATACTCTCTCTTCTTCGTGAATTGCGTACCGGAAACCAAAATTTCGATGAAGGTTCGAACGGAGATGTACAATTTAGACCCGAACGGGTCTAAGGATTACCTCCCTGCCGGGTCAACCCGATTACCCGGATTGTATTTCTTCTTCTCCCTCGGCTACTTAGCTTTCCTTGGTCTCTGGGGTTATGCTTGTTGGGTCAATAAACGTGTTGTTCATAGGATCCACGTTCTCATGGCGGCTCTGCTTCTTATGAAGGCTTTGAATCTGATCTGTGCCGCCGAGGATAAGCACTACGTGAAAGTCACCGGTACTCCTCACGGCTGGGATGTCTTATTCTACATTTTCCAGTTTATTCGTGTTGTTCTTCTCTTCACTGTCATTGTGTTGATTGGAACTGGCTGGTCCTTCTTGAAGCCGTTCTTACAAGAGAAAGAGAAGAATGTGTTGATGGTTGTTGTCCCACTTCAGGTTCTCGCCAACATTGCTTCCGTTGTGATTGGAGAGACTGGACCTTTTATTAAAGACTGGGTTACTTGGAATCAGATATTCTTGCTTGTAGATATAGTTTGTTGTTGTGCAATCTTATTTCCTATTGTTTGGTCGATTCGTTCGCTAAGAGAGACTTCAAAAACCGATGGGAAAGCGGCTAGGAACTTGGCGAAATTGACTCTGTTTAGACAATTCTACATTGTTGTCATCGGGTATTTGTACTTTACGAGGATTGTAGTGTTTGCACTGAAGACAATCGCAGCTTATAAGTATCGGTGGGTGAGTAATGCAGCTGAGGAGATTGCAAGTCTGGCGTTTTACATGTTGATGTTCTATATGTTCAGGCCGGTCGAGAAGAATGAGTATTTCGTTTTAGATGAAGAAGAAGAAGAAGCCGCAGAGCTGGCCTTGAAGGAGGATGATTTTGAACTCTGAAACAGATCAAGGACTTTCACTGACTGTATAAGCTGTGATGACATTTGCTTTTTGTTTTCTTTTTCTTTACTCATAAGTAGTTTACTTGCAAAAGGGATTAACTGTGTATTTTTCTCTTATATCGTAAAAGCTTGTTTGTCCTAAGACTTATTTGCTAGTAAGAAGAAGATCAGTGCCTCTGCTGTTTAATAATACATGTATTATCGCTTACCCGAATCTGCTTTACCCGACTCTCTAGTTCGATACTAAGACTATAAGGCAATGAACTTCTATTTATCTTCAAACTTGTATGTTTACAGCTCATAATCCTTAGTTACTTGAGGCTGGAGTTTCCAGAATAACCATTTCTTGCGTAGTTTCACATCTAAAGCCAAGAAAGTTTCTGCATTGGTTTTATTCATCTTCAATCAGATCACAAGCATCTAATAGAAACTCCTCGTCCATGCCTGGTGATGCTTGAACAGCCTCAACCGTGTCCTCTGTTGCCATGGTTTTGGTTTCATTCATACTCGAGGCTTCTTCAGGTGTATATGGCTTCAGTAGTACCAAGTTGATGATCTCTTTTGTTCTAGGGATCAAACAAAAGAGAGTTGCTATCTACTTTCCCAGCTGAAATAGACAAAATTGTGGTTCCACTGGACTTGAAACATTGGAATTCGGTTTCGAGTTAATCCAGTTCATAGTGACAAAGCAGTCGATCCCATAATCACAACAGAGCACACACAGATCTTTATAGTATGGGATTGGTCGAGTCATGACTCATGAATTACCTTGCATCTCTATGAGCCTTTATATATTCTTGTAGACATTGTCATCAGCAATAACCATGATGTTTAATTTTCCAATATATGATCTTAGAGGATACATACAACTATACAAGACATGAATAAAGCTACACAAAGAATCTTGAATAACAGAAAATTTCGATTAGATTAGTCCCTTTTCTCGTAACAAAACTTCCACGGCTCGTCTCCCAGAGACCAAAGCTCCGTCAAATGTAGCAGAAGTCATGTAATCACCGCTCAAGTAAAGACCCGACCCGACCCGAGGATTCTTAACCAAATCAGTGGGTGGGCATTGGTTAGGCTGAGCGAATTGGATCCGGTACGTTTTCAAATGTTTCCATGACATAACCGAAGACTCACCAAACCAACCAGAGAGTTCGCTAATAACCTCTGCTGCTAAATCATCATCGGATCTATCCTCGAACGATCCGATCAATGATACCGAAACCAGAGCCTTTCCCGGTGGCGCGTATGTCCGAGCAACATTTGTAGCGAAGAACATGTTGTTGATTATACCGGTATTTGTCCCGTTGAGAAATAGAACCGGGTCTTGTACCGGTATCTGGTTTGGTTCAGCTGTGAAGTAAAGACAAATGGTGCTCCGAGCCGGTTTTGTTATAACCGGGTCTCTGATCCCATCGAGAAGCTTATCCACTTCTGGTTGCTCGACGGCGATTATGACACCTAGCTCTGCCTTCAAAACGCCGCCGTCTTGGAGTCTCACGCTAGGTGGATCAGAGCCCGTTCCATTTGGATACTCAACCGAAGCGACCCTTGTGTTCAACAAGACGGAATTAGCGGGTAATTTCGCGGCCAACTGGTTCGAGATTTCTCCGATTCCCATGGTTGGAAGTGTATTTTCTCCGAGAGCAAGACACCGGAAAACGAAATCAAAGAGCTTCGAGGTCGTCTCGAGGTCTCTGTCGAAGAAAATTCCACCGAAGAATGGTCGGAAGAACCGATCAAGAATCGCTTCTGAGAAACCAATCTTACGGAGGAGATCAATGGTCGGAACTTCATCGGCGGCAGTCAATATCTCTTCGTCTGACTTGATTAGAACCCTAGCTCTCGTCAAAGCGATAAGCCCTTTGTCCACGACGGATCCAATCGGATTCGTGAGAGATGCCACCGAATCCCAAAAATGTCGGAGAGGATCAGCTACTGTGTGAAATTTTCCGCCGTAAAAAACCTTAGCTCCGGCGTAGAATCGCTGCAGATCCAGTGATTCGTAATCTAGAAGCTTTTTAGCTTCGGGATACGCAGTGATGAAAATCTGAAATCCTCTGTCGAGAAAGAAGCCGTCGACGATATCTGTACGGACGCGTCCGCCGACACCGTCGGAAGCTTCGAGGAGTAGGAAAGGGATTCGTTTGGAGGTGAGCTGGTTCGCGGCGGCTAAACCAGCGAGTCCAGCGCCGATGATGATGACGCCAGTTTGATTCTTCCGATTGTACGGGTCTGCCGTGGAAGATTGAGCTCCGGAAAAGCGTCGATATCGGTGATTTGCATGGCCGCGGCAGGGAGGGAAGAATTGAGAAATAGATGAGATTGGGAGAGTGTTCGCCAATGGCGGCATTTTAAAAGTTTGGATAAGGTTTTTCTCATTCGTTTAACTTTATTTTCCCCGGGAAAATGGTTTGTCTGGAAAAAAAAAAAAAAAATTAGACAATTTCAGTATTTCACAAAAAACATACACAAACCAAAAAAGTTTTATTTCATACAACCACAAAACTAAATATGACAAATGTTGATCAAAAGTCAATATGTCCGAGTGGTTAAGGAGATTGACTCGAAATCAATTGGGCTTTGCCCGCGCAGGTTCGAATCCTGCTGTTGACGTAATTATTTTTTGTTTGGCTTTTGTTAGGTTGAGAAAATATATTGTAGTTTTAGTGTAACACACCTTAAAAAGTTTTTTTTTTGTTTTTTCCTAATCTAAAAATATATGGTAGTTTTAAAATCAACACCAATAAGAATTGTTTGAAAAGTTATGGAAACCAACAGAATCAGAAAAATCTGTTAAGAAAATGTCAGAAAATGGAAAAATCTCTAACTGAACAAAGTAACAAAAAAACCCCTTAGAAACAGAGGAATCATGATGAGAGGCAAAATTATACAGAGCCGTGGAAATGTCTGTAACGTTGTCTCATCCATCATCATGTCTTGTCCTTCTCCTCCTTCTATTTTCCGGTCATCCCTCCGCCTCCGGGACCTCCATCCCCGACATGGTGAACACGGCGGCACGTGTGTTAAACAGAGCGAGAAGAGCAAAACTTGCGAGAGAATTTCTACAAGCGCACAACGATGCACGTGTTTCTTCAGGCGTGCCAACTCTCGAATGGGACAGAGACCTGGCCCGATTCGCTGATAAATGGGCTAAACAACGTAAGCCCGATTGCAGCATGATACATTCAGGTGGGCCTTACGGCGAGAACATTTTCTGGTACCGGCGTAAGAACATGTGGTCGCCGGAGAAAGTGGTGACGAGATGGTATGAGGAAAGGTTTAACTACGACGTGAAAACAAACACGTGCGCATCGGGAAAGATGTGCGGCCATTACACGCAGATGGTGTGGAGAGCCACCACAGCCGTTGGATGCGCACGTGTGAAATGCAACAACGGTCGTGGCTATCTTGTGGTGTGTGAATATGACCCACGTGGGAATTACGAAGGTGAAAGACCTTTTGATCAAAACAGTTAAATGAAAAAATGTTAGAGTGAAAAACATTATTTTCGTCTTCTTATATTATTATTCTTGGTCCTTACATATATACAGCCATGTATTGAAGAGGTATAACTTGAAATTGTTAATAATGGAGTTAGAGCAACATCAATGGTTGAATCCTTAAAAAGATTTTTAAACATTTTTTAATGATAAATTATGACAATTTTAAATTTAAGAGTTTGTGATGAATCCTTAAAATTTTCTTTGTCCAATGGTAGAGTCCTTAAGTGGATTTCTTAAAAAAAAAAAATTAAAATGAAAATTATAAACTAATAAATATTACAATTTCCTAAAAAAATTTAAACATACAAGACATAAAAACATATAAAAAACCAAAATTTTGCCATGTAAATTAGCTTTCAATTGTTGATGCATAGTCCGATCATGAACTCGAGTTCGAATGTCCATCATATTACTGAAATTTGAAAGCATATTTTTTTTTGTCTTTTATTAATATTTTTGACCCAATCAGAAAGCGACACATATGAGACTTTTAACAATCTTTAAACCTCTAAGAGCATTCTCAACGGCAGGATCTCACACCAACTCTAATAATTAAAATAATAGAAAAAATAGAAAAAGAAGGAGAGAAAGTGTTAATTATGAGAGAATCGTTTCTTAAGTTTCTCTTTTAAAACACGTTGAGAGATCTTAGAGAAACTCAACTTGTCAGATTCATTGATTCTATTATTAGACTTTAATTGATTATTTAAAATTTAATTAAATAAGAAAATAATAATAAAAATAATATTTTTTTGTGAACAGACCTCTATTTTTGAGATACTGCCGTTGAAGATGCTCTTAACAACCCTAATATTATAGTCAACTCTTAACAATCCTTAACTTGTTGTTTTCATTTATTTTAAATATTTTTAACTTTAAAGATTTTTTTAAGAAACCCATAAGAAACATCAGGGAGTGCTCTTACAAAAAAAGAGAAGAGAAAACGTCGACAGCAGGGTTCGAACCTGCGCGGGCGAAGCCCAAAAGATTTCAAGTCTATCTCCTTAACCACTCGGACATATCGACTTGTTATAACTTTTCAATATAATTGCTTTTAAAAAGAGAGTTACATTACTACAGCATGAACTTGCTACGTGGAGCAGAAGGCATGCACTTTTGTCTATCCTTTTATTGTATAACCTGAACAAAGACATGAAACTCCTGTAAGAAATTTTAAACAACGTAAGTTTCCTCCAATTTCTTAAAGAAATACATTACAAACTGAGACCATAAGAAGAAAATGGAGGAAACTTACTTAAGAGCCAAAGCAGAGCCCAACAAAAACACACAACGATTGAGTTTTCACATCATTAGGGTCTTTTGAAATCCTCTGGTTTTGTCTTCCTGTATGTGTGTTTGTAAAGTCGCATAGTCTCTCAAGAGTCGCATTAAAAACTGTGCATGGTTACTCCATGGCAGTGGAGTTGAAGCTTTGGTCTTGGTCAGTGTTGTGCTCCTCGGAACTGACACGTGACACCTAGTTTTCGTGTGCTGCAAGCCTCCACTTCTTCTTTTCTTATTTGCTTATGTTATTGTTGTTGTTATTATTTTTTGTTAAAAACCTTCCTCCAAATGCAACCATTGCCTTGGTTGAGAATGTATTTAAGCAGTTTGGACCAATTAAAAGGGAGGAATTCGAGTTAGAAACCCTGCTTATTCGGTATATGTTGAGTAATCTACTAACAAGCATTTTTCTTATTAATGGAAACGATAATTTGGTTACACTTGTATGAAACTGGTAGAACTATATATTGGTATGCTTTTGTGGAGTTTGAGGAAGCAGATGCTGCGAAGAGGGCAATAAAGGTACGTGCTTTGGACCTGGACCTTTTTATACATTTGCTCTGAATCTTGGTTAGGATTCACTTTGATCTCTTGAAGCCACAAGAGTTAGATTGACTTTGATAATGCTGGCATGAGTCTTATTCAGGCGTCTCCTCTATATATTGATGGGCATACAACTGACGTGGGGAAGAAGCGATCAGCTGGAGATAATTTAAATCGGTCAACTATTTTCTTCCCATGAGCCGTCATAGTTTCTTTGAACTCTTTGTAGACACAATCCCAACTAATATCTTCATGATGATCTTCATTGAGCAAAGCAGTTCCATCCTCAAATGATTATTCATCATCCATCAATTTTCCTCTCTTTGAACTGGCCTTGAACTTGAATTTCCATCCCTGAGATACTTCAGAAACTGAACCTAGAACTTGTAAACCTGAAGCACACTCCAACGGTTCGATTAAAGGATCGCAAGTCTTCATAGCTTCCACGAACAAGTTCATTAGAGGAGATAAATTTATTTAAGCTAACTATAAAATTCGGAAGTTATTTGCCCTTGATGACATTAGTGCATGTGAGCATAAACATAATCACATAGAGCCGATAACATATTCGGCTAAACATAAGTATATAACAGATTATATAATTAATATAACCAACCAACAACGTCGAATATAATTTCAAAAAAAAAAAAAAAAACAACGTCAAATATTTTTCTACTATTCCTTCACAATAAAACGGTCAACGCGTCAACGGTTAGACCGACGTAGGCTCGTTTTAGCGCTGCTCAGTGGCAACAAATGTAAATACGTATATCTTACGAAATTGCATAAATAGGACTCTCTGCGACTGAAACGAAACGAGAATGCCAAATCAAGAAAACAGTTCCTTGCTTCTTTCTCTCACGCTCTTCGTCTCTTTCTCTGCTTCTTCCTTCTCGCTAATAAACCCTAGAAACCGCATTGAAGTTGGAGTCGCAGACCTCGGAGATACTCATATTCCTGCCTCGCTACGATTTCAGGTGAGTCTTCTTTCTCTCACGCTCTTCGTCTCTTTCTCTGCTTCTTCCTTCTCGCTAATAAACCCTAGAATCGTTGGTTTGGAGATTAGATCAGGAATGTGATCTTTTAAGTATCGAGTGTAACGTAGAGGCAAAATCTTTGCTTCTTCCTTGATTTTCTTAACAGTCTTTTCTTCAAGATTGGATTTTTTTTGGTTATATGCTTATGTTCTTGGCTAGATTTAAGGATCAAGATTGGATTTTTTTTCATCTTTAGATTCAGCGCACGCATAGCTCAACTCTCTGAACCAATGGATCCTTCTTCACGACATTCTGCTAAAGAGGTATATAGAATCCAAACAACTGTATGCTCTGTTCCATCGGATTTCATGTTGTCTCTGTGATTATAACTACTCTCTGTATTAAACGTATAGGTAGGGGATGGATTTGCAGAGAGATACTATAAGACCTTGCAATACTATCCGGGGCTTCTTTATCGCTACTATAACGATGTCAGTAAGATTACACGGCCTGGACTTGATGGAACGATGCGTTCCTCTACCCTACAGGTTAGATACTTGTCTTGATCCCTGAGTCCTAACGTTGGTGAAATCTTTGCTCTGATACTGATTCCTAATCTTGGAGCAGGACATGATCAAGGATCTTGATATGCTATCTTCTGGTGGTTTTGATTCGGTTGAGGACCTTGAGGTAACCAGTTTCATGTCCCAAGAATCTCATAGTGGGGGTATCCTCGTCACTGCTGATGGCTTCTTCACTTCACACGAGAGACCTGCAAGGAAATTCACACAAAACTTCTTTCTTGCTCCCCAAGAAAATGACTACTTTGCTTTGACCGACATGTTCAAGTTTGTTGATATACCCGAGGCTAATGACATTAAGGTTGTTATTATACTATTGTTAAATATCGTTTGATGTTAATCATCTCATATATCCAATTTAACAGTAAATGAAACTGTTTTCCTTTCATAAACCAGGACTTGAGTGTGATTCCTGCAGTGCCCAAATCTACCACCACCAACACTGAAAAGGTAAAAACTAAAACCTAGAATTGTGACTTGTGAGGCTTATAAATGGCAAATGCTATTTGTTTTTTTCTTCTAAAATTGTAAAAGCTTTGTTTTTTCTTTTCAGACCTAGAATTGTAAAAGCAAAAGAGATTTATAAATGGCAAATGCTTTGCTTTTTCTTTTCAGGATGAGGTTATAGACCGTCTTGTAGCTCTCAAGGTCGAGACCCGTCTTATAGAAGCAGTTCAAGCCGTTAAAACCTCTTTTGATCAAATACCACCTGATAACACTTCAGACATCTTCTTCAGAATCCCGAAACGCTATTACCCGATCGTCGCCTGTGTTTCTAAGGCTTTCAAAAATCTTGTTAAGTCGCCAGAGCTACAACAACAGAGACGTCAACTCGACAAAGATTCGGTATATTTTTGTTTTAACAATGGCTCCCCTAATCCTGCTGAATCTATGACCTGGTTCAGTCTTCGAAAGAGCAATGATAATCCTAATGATGACGTCTTTTCCGAAGCACTTGTTGTGCCCAATGATCATGAGTGCACCAGAACACTCAGAAATATTTTCTCGTGTGGTTCAGAAATTATTTTGGTTGGGAGAACATTCAAGCTAACTATAGGACCTGAATGCCAAGTTTGGATTTTTGACAGCATCTGTGGAAGGTTACGGGAAGCACCTTCTCTGCCCTTAGCGCTACATTACTGGAACTCGGGACTCGTAAGAGACGACTTGTATGTCTTTGGAACACCTTTGAAGGCTGATACTCTGCGAGAACGTTTTCAAGTATATGGAATCAGGTTCAATCTCCTGTCCCAAACGTGGTCTGATCCATTCCCAACAAAAATGCAGTTCTCGGCATCAACTCAATCCGTTGATAAGAACATTTACCTTTTGACACGGGAAGGACTTTATCAGGTATACAACATTAGTAATGATGTATTCACTTCTTATAGGGAGCCTTATAAGTCTCATACTGCTTGGACGACATGGACAATGAGTAGTGTTTGTGTGTTTGAAAACGTCTTCTACTCTTATGATGCTGTGTATGGACTGCACTGGTATGACACCAAGCTTAATCAGTGGAAAGCTGTTACTGGTAGCACGATGGGAAGGATTGGGCATGGTTTGCTTGGGAAGACTTGGTCAATCGCACTTAAGGAATATTACGGAAAGCTAGTTCTGTTGTGGACAGTTAGGCCAGAAGAAATTGCTGAGGATGCTAGGATGACAGTTTATTACACTATGATTGCATTAAGAAGAACCGAAACAGAGATTTATGGAGAGGTCGACGAAATTAGAACTTTGGGCACGTTACCTCGCCGCTATAGTTTGGAACACTGTGTGTCGGTTTTGGTCTAACCGGTGAATAGATCATGATGCTGAGAAAATTGGTGATTACCCGGTGACGGTACGGTGTACCAGGATCGCTCTCGAAAGGAACGGTACAGAGATCTATGGAGAAGTCTCAGAGATTAGAAGTTTGGGTTCACTACCTAGGACGTTTAGGCTAGCTCATTGTGTTTCAGTGTTGGTCTAACCATGATCTTTGTTTAACCCTTGTTAGGTTTCGGGTGAATATTTTCTTTCTTTTTTTTTTTTTTTTGACATCGAATATTTTCTATATTGGTGATTTTTGTAATCTGAATTTGATTCTCTAAATCTTGTCTTGCACAAAAGTCATTTGCCAAAAGTCTTGAACCGGTATCGTAATTTTTGATTGAGCTAGGTTTACTAGGGCCGGTTCCTTAATCATATATATATATATATATATATATATATATATATAGTTGTTCTTAGGTTTCCCGTGAATTTGTGAAAACCCAAATCCAAATCCAAATTGGAGAAGAAGAATGCACGGTCGTCCGACGTCCGAGGAATGCGGCTTCGAAGCCAGAAGCCTCCGCTGCTAAAGCGTTTAAGCTCCGGTCGATCCAATCCCAGTTCATGTCCAACCACCATCGAAAGATGTACAGTCTTCTTCTCTTTCCTTTCTATCGATCAATCAATCAAATCATTGTTGATCTTCTTTTTGGTATCTAGTTACACACAGGAAGCAATTCAATTAAGCGCGAAGCTTCTAGCAATCAATCCGGAGGCCTACACGGCTTGGAACTATCGGAAGCTCGCCGTCGAGGATAACCTTTCCCGAATCGACGACTCTGATCCAAGCTTGGTCAACTCAATTCTCAATGAAGAACTTGAAGTCGTGAGTGCTTGGTTTAATATATAGAACTCAATTCTCAATTCACTCATTCGTTGATGTGTTAGATTGGTTGCTTCACATCCCATTCATGTCAATTTTGCTCATCGATTGCCTTTTCTTGTTGATTCAGGTAGCAATTGCCCTTCGACGAAATATCAAGTCCTATGGGGCTTGGTATCATCGAAAGTGGATTTTGAATAAATATCAAAAGCTCGATCTCAGGAACTTTCACGCTTGGAACTATCGCAGGTGAGAGATTCAGGGAATTGCTTCACATTGTCAATCAGCTTTTGCATATATCATATCTTGTCTTGTTCCTTTTTCCAGGTTTGTTGTGGAGCTAACCAAGACGTCACCACAGGATGAGTTGCAGTATACAACTGATTTAATCAATGATGTTAGTTTTAGCAACTATTCTGCGTGGCACAATCGTAGGTATGCATATTTAAATTAATGGAGGCATTTGTGGGCTAGATTGATGGTCAGAGAGATATATAATTTGCTTATCAACTATACTTTCTTTTTTGTTTGGTTGATACTACCAGTATACCACCATATTTGATGGAATATTAGCACAACTATAGCTTCTTGATCTAGTAAGCAAAGAATTTTTTATCCACAGTGGCTCTATTATTAGCTGAAAATATGATCCGTTAATTCTGCAGTGCACTTCTTTCAAGTTTAGTCGCAAAAAAGGCTGATGGGTTTATGCCAAAGGAAACGATTCGTCGTGAATTAGATTATGTACATAATGCTATTTTTACGGACGAAGATGACCAAAGCGCCTGGTTTTATTATCTCTGGCTTCTTGATCAAACTGTTAAAATGGAGACTCCTCTTCGCACTTCCTCGTGGCCTTCTGATGGTTCCATTATCATTCTATCTGGACCTGGGTGCTTCAATGGCTCTTCTTCTTCTAAGTTCACTACTTTCTGTTCCGAGTCTGCTTCTTTTCCACTGATTCTTTACTTTGACCAAGCCGTCAGTGGAGTAAGCTCGTCTACTGTTACTATTGATTCTGAACTACAAGGAAATCAGGACCTTGTTTGGGAACCAGTTTCGGATAAAAACTCTCAACTGTCTTGTGTATGGGTTGCTCGTCTGAAATTTGACAGTACTGAACCTTGCTTTCGCAAGGAAAACAAAGTGAAGGTCAGCCTTGGGAAGTCTCAAGGAATTGTTTCTTCCAGGGGATGTAACTTGAGCGCTCCTTTTGAGTTTGTATTTACAGTGCATATTCATGACACTGTCGGAGAGCCACAAGAAGGCATTGTTTCGTGGACGGATGGTTTTGACAATTGGGATGCACAGTCGAAGGATTTGAATTCTCTTATCACCTCGTATCAGTTAAACGCTGATACAGGTTTTGAGTGGCGTAAGCAAGCTATAAAGACAGAGATTGAATGTTTTCGTGATTTGCATGACAGGTATAAATAATCCTGTAAACTTTCTAGATTTAATGGAAAAGAGAAATTGTAGTCTTGACCTTCTGAGTTCTTCTTTCCTTTTTTGTAGCAAATTTGGAAAGCTCATTCTTGCAAGGCTTTTGATGGCTGAGGAAACTATGATCTCGGATGATGCTGTTAAGGGTGTCCATTATGTTGAAATCCTCCAGCTGTATAACGATCTGATGGTTCTTAATTCTTCGCATTACCAGTACTACAAGGATGAGCACAGCGTAGCTCTTCTCCACAAGGTACTTAGTCTTCCTTTTAGCTGTGAATCTCAAAGTTGTATGAGTCATAAAGAGAATGTTGATGCACAGGTGACTTCAAGCACCGAATCCCTGTCCAGACACCTCTTTCTGTACAGGAATATGAACAATATTGTATGTCTAAGGCTCAGTAACTTAACATTATCTCGGATAGCCACTGTCGAGAAGTTTCTATTTGTCCAAATGTTAGATCTCAGTTACAATGACCTTCATTCCGCTGAAGGTATGTAGTGTTTTCTAACGCTTTGATTGAGTCTTGAATATCAGTTTTTGCATATGTGTGATATAATATGGGTCTGTAGGATTGGAGGCGATGCAGCTTCTCTGTTGCCTAAATCTGTGTCACAACAGAATCAGGAGCTTTTCAGCCCTTGATTCTCTAAGACATCTGAAGCAGCTTAGAGTGTTGGATGTTTCACATAACGACATGGGCGGCAAGCACCCAGTGGACACAACAGGGTACCTTTGTTCTAGGCCGCTCTCTAATTCGGCTGAAATTGGAAGACAGGTGCCTTGTAAATACTGGGATGCGTATTTGGTGCTTAGAGATTTGAAGAAACTGAAGCAGTTAGATATAATAAGAGGCAACGACCTAATTGCAGGGGAAGAGTTCAGCTCCTTTGTCCGCCAGGTTCTTCCAAAGCTTGTATGGCTTGATGGCCACAAACTCGCTAGTTAAAATATAAATGTTAGGCCACTTCCTTTTTTTTCTTTTTAATCTATTGTTTTTTGGTTCAGTTTGATGATCTTAAATAAGAAAACCAAGTCAAGTCTATAAAAAGATAATTTTAAAAATTAATCAATAATTACTAGTTTTCTGAGTAATTTAAAAAATCCTAGAATCACAAACACGCTTGTGCTCCTCCAGGAAGGGAGAAGGCTTGATTAGTTACGTCTTCAACAACACGCTTGAGTTCAGCTTTCGCTGTCTTAACAGATTTTTCGGTAGGCCCTTCAACGAACAAATAGAGCTTGCGTTCCCCAGGTCCCGTGATACGTCCTGCCTCATAAAACTTACCTCTTCGTAATGGAAGCTCTACTCTACTCTCATATTGGTTCAAGCGTTTCTTTGTGGGTAACTTTCCACTGAGCATTCTGTGGGAAATCATTGATTTCCAACTCTGCTTCATAGTATTGAGCTTGAATCTTTGCAAGGTAGTGTTGCACGTTAGCACTTAGCAGCAGCAACAACAATGGCTGCAACGCGGCCTGCTCCATCAGTAGGAGGGACCACCTGGCTCGGTGGCTAGCCCGACAGCATTTGGCAGCAATTGGTTAGCAGTCACAGGAGCTTTTGCAGGAGCAGCAATGGCGGCTATCTGAGCAAGAGTAATCTGCTGCTGTGAGATATCACCACCAGCCTTTGTTACTACATCATTCTCATCTTCTGAGTCAGACTTCTCTTCCTCAAAGCCATACTCCTTTGCTTGTGCTTTCTTTGCAGCTTTCCTAACTTCATCCTCCTCTTCGTTGAATTTAAAGCCACTGCCACCATAGCCAGTTCCATGAGCATGCTCAATACCCTGTTTTACTTTCGCCAGGAACTGGCTCCTCAGATAGTTCCAGGGCCTTGACTAAATCTGGTGCATATTTTGCATCATCCTCAGAGAGAAATGTTACAGCACAGCCTTTCCGTCCTGCCCTACCTGTCCTGCCAACACGATGCACATAGTCTTCATAGTGGTTTGGTGCATCGAAGTTTACAACCAACTCAAGCTCTTTCACATCTAGGCACCTCGCTGCAACACTTGTGGCAATCAACAAATTGCAGACATTGTTCTTTTTTTTTTTTTTTTTGTCAATCATGCAGACATTGTTCTTAAAATCAGATATAGCTGATTCACGATCAGTCTGTTCCTTACCCCCGTGAAGAGATAGACAGGCGTAGCCACATTTGGTCATCAAATCATTTCCTCTTCATCCATTCTCAGAGACAGTAACAGCTGTCTCATTCTCCGAGTCGATCATCTTGGCATCTCCACCATTTTCGAGTTTAGTATCACCATTAACATCCACGTCTGAGTCTGATTTATCTTCATCATCAGATTCACCTTCAAGAGTCCAAGCCTTAAAGGCCTCAGGGCCCTTACTTTCAATTTGAGCTTCCTCCTTTTCTTGCACAAAAGTCATTTGCACAAAAGTCATTTGCACAAAAGTCATTTTCCAAATTCACCACACTCTGTTCCTTCCGGTCTACTAAACGAGAGGCAATTCCAAAAACCCGAATCGTAATTTTCAATTGAACCGGTATCGTAATTTTCAATTGAGCTAGGTTTACTAGGACCGGTTCCTTAATCATATATATATATACACAGTAGTTGTTCTTAGGTTTCCCGTGAACTTGTGAAAACCCAAATCCAAATCCAAATTGGAGAAGAAGAATGCACGGTCGTCCGAGGAAGGCGGCTTCGAAGCCAGAAGCCTCGGCTGCTAAAGCCTTAAAGCTCCGGTCGGTCCAGTCCCAGTTCATGTCCAATCACCATCGAAAGATGTACAGTCTTCTTCTCTTTCCTTTCTATCGATCAATCAATCAAATCATTTGTTGATCTTCTTTTTGGTATCTAGTTACACACAGGAAGCAATTCAATTAAGCGCGAAGCTTCTAGCAATCAATCCGGAGGCCTACACGGCTTGGAACTATCGGAAGCTCGCCGTCGAGGATAACCTTTCCCGAATCGACGACTCTGATCCAAGCTTGGTCAACTCAATTCTCAATGAAGAACTTGAAGTCGTGAGTGCTTGGTTTAATATATAGAACTCAATTCTCAATTCACTCATTGGTTGATGTGTTAGATTGGTTGCTTCACATCCCATTCATGTCAATCGATTGCCTTTTCGTGTTGATTCAGGTAGCAATTGCCCTTCGGCGAAATCTCAAGTCCTATGGGGCTTGGTATCATCGAAAGTGGGTTTTGAGTAAAGGGCATTCCTCCTTAGAAAAGGAATTGCAACTTTTGAATAAATATCAAAAGCTCGATCTCAGGAACTTTCACGCTTGGAACTATCGCAGGTGAGAGATTCAGGGAATTGCTTCACATTGTCAATCAGCTTTTGCATATTTCATATCTCTGTCTTGTTCCTTTTTCCAGGTTTGTCTTGGAGCTAACCAAGACGCCACAACAGGATGAGTTGCACTATACAACTGATATGATCAATGATGTTAGTTTCAGCAACTATTCTGCGTGGCACAATCGTAGGTATGCATATTTAAACTAATGGACTAGATTGATGATGGTCAGAGAGATATAATTTGCTTATCAACTATATCAAGTTTACTTTTTTTTTTTTTTTTGTTGGGTTGATAGTACCAGTATACCACCATATTTTAACACAACTAAGGTTTTCTAACACTATAGCTTCTTGATCCAGTAAGCAAAGTATTTTTATCCACAGTGCGCTCTATTATTAGCTGAAAATATGATCCGTTTTTCTCTTTCTGCAGTGAACTTCTTTCAAGTTTAGTCGCAAAAAAGGCTGATGGGTTTATGCCAAAGGAAACGATTCGTCGTGAATTAGATTATGTACATAATGCTATTTTTACGGACGAAGATGACCAAAGTGCTTGGTTTTATTATCTTTGGCTTCTTGATCAAACTGTTAAAATGGAGACTCCTCTTCGCACTTCCTCGTGGCCTTCAGATGGTTCCATTATCATCCTATCTGGACCTGGGTGCTTCAATGGCTCTTCTTCTTCTTCTAAGTTCACTACTTTCTGTTCCGAGTCTGGTTCTTTTCCACTGATTCTTTACTTTGACCAAGCCGTCAGTGGAGTAAGCTCGTCTACTGTTACTATTGATTCTGAACTACAAGGAAATCAGGACCTTGTTTGGGAACCAGTTTCGGATAAAAACTCTCAACTGTCTTGTGTATGGGTTGCTCGTCTGAAATTTGACAGTGCTGAACCTTGCTTTCGCAAGGAAAACAAAGTGAAGGTCAGCCTTGGGAAGTCTCAAGGAATTGTTTCTTCCAGGGGATGTTACTTGAGCGCTCCTTATGAGTTTGTATTTACAGTGCATATTCATGACACTGTCGGAGAGCCACAAGAAGGCATTGTTTTGTGGACGGATGGTTTTGACAATTGGGATGCACAGTCGAAGGATTTGAATTCTCTTATCACCTCGGATCAGTTAAACGCTGATACAGGTTTTGAGTGGCGTAAGCAAGCTATAAAGATAGAGATTGAATGTTTTCGTGATTTGCATGACAGGTATAAATAATCCTGTAAACTTTCTAGATTTAATGGAAAAGAGAAATTGTAGTCTTGACCTTCTGAGTTCTTCTTTCCTTTTTTGTAGCAAATTTGGAAAGCTCATTCTTGCAAGGCTTTTGATGGCTGAGGAAACTATGATCTCGGATGATGCTGTTAAGGGTGTCCATTATAATGAAATCCTCCAGCTGTATAAGGATCTGATGGCTCTTAATTCTTCGCATGACCAGTACTACAAGGATGAGCACAGCGTAGCTCTTCTCCACAAGGTACTTAGTCTTCGTTTTAGCTGTGAATCTCAAAGTTGTATGAGTCATAAAGAGAATGTTGATGCACAGGTGACTTCAAGTACCGAATCCCTGTCCAGACGCCTCTTTCTGTACAGGAATATGAACAATATTGTATGTCTAAGGCTCAATAACTTAACATTATCTCGGATAGCCGCTGTCGAGAAGTTTCTATTTGTCCAAATGTTAGATCTCAGTCACAATGAGCTTCATTCCGCTGAAGGTATGTAGTGTTTTCTAACGCTTTGATTGAGTCTTGAATATCAGTTTTTGCATATGTGTGATATAATATGGGTCTGTAGGATTGGAGGCGATGCAGCTTCTCTGTTGCCTAAATCTGTGTCACAACAGAATCAGGAGCTTTTCAGCCCTTGATTCTCTAAGACATCTGAAGCAGCTTAGAGTGTTGGATGTTTCACATAACGACATGGGCGGCAAGCACCCAGTGGACACAACAAGGTACCTTTGTTCTAGGCCGCTCTCTAATTCGGCTGAAATTGGAAGACAGGTGCCTTGTAAATACTGGGATGCGTATTTGGTGCTTAGAGATTTGAAGAAACTGAAGCAGTTAGATATAATAAGAGGCAACGACCTAATTGCAGGGGAAGAGTTCAGCTCCTTTGTCCGCCAGGTTCTTCCAAAGCTTGTATGGCTTGATGGCCACAAACTCGCTAGTTAGGCCACTTCTTTTTTTTTAAATCTATTGTTTTTTGGTGATCTAAAATAGGAATGTTAAAACAATAAAATAAAAAAAGCTTGACCATTCATTTTCATGAAATCAAAAGACTACACGTGCTTAAGCTTGAGGCTCTAAATGAAGTGATAGCAAAGAATGAAATAATAAAAAAAAAAAAGTCAGAAAAAATGAATGGTCTGAGATTGAAGTGAAACCCACTCCACATACAACTTCTTCCCCGCCATGTGGACTTTTCTTTTTTCCCACTTTCTCTCTCTCTGTCTCTGCCTTCTCTATTAACATCTGAAACATAACCGATGAGCTCGTCGCCGTCAAGGAATCCGACGAACGCCGAAGCACCTCCGCCACAACCAACATCCACGGATGCGGTGGCAGAGGGTTCGTCTAAGAAAGTGAGGAAACCTTATACCATCACTAAGTCTAGGGAGAGCTGGACTGAGGAAGAGCATGATAAGTTTCTTGAAGCACTTCAACTGTAATAATTTATCTCTGTTTCTCTATTTGTTTAGAGATTCTTCAACTTTCTAAGTTTGCTGTTGATTTCTGGGTTTAGTTAGTTATAGACTGAACAAACAGAGGAAAGTTTATGTTAGTTAGGTCTAAACAAGTAACTTAGCTGAAAAAGATCTGCTTCCTTGAGTTAAATTGATCTTTTTGATTAGCTAAAAAGATCTGCTTCTTGAAGCACTTCAACTGTAATAATTTTATACTTGTGTGGTCTTTTGAAAGTGTTATTGATGTAGCAGGACCTGATTAAACTGATACTACTGGTCTTTGTTCCTTAGGTTTGATCGTGATTGGAAGAAGATTGAAGATTTTGTTGGTTCAAAGACTGTGATTCAGGTTTTAGAATAGCTTACTCTGCATTTTGGTCCAAGTTACTTTGTGGCAATGTTTTTTCAACTTATTTGACTTACTGCAGATAAGGAGCCATGCCCAAAAATACTTTCTAAAGGTTCAGAAAAACGGGACATTAGCTCATGTGCCACCTCCTCGGCCTAAGCGCAAAGCAGCTCATCCGTATCCTCAAAAGGCATCGAAGAACGGTTCGACAGTTTTGTTTTATAATAGTTGTTAGTTTGGTTATAGAGATGTGTGTTTGTTCCGGTTACTTGAGTTTTTAACTACATTTCCTTGCAGCTCAAATGCCACTACAAGTTTCCACGTCTTTTACTACTTCGCGAAATAGCGATATGCCGGGATATGCTTCATGGGATGATGCCTCAATGCTGCTAAACAGAGTTATTTCACCACAACATGAACTTGCTACTCTTCGTGGAGCAGAAGGCATGCACTTTTGTCTATCTTTTTAATCTTCATTTTATTGGTAGTAGTAGTAGAATAGGTTCCATCAAAGGACGTTTCATGTGCTTATTATGGCATATAACGCCACTGATTCAGCTGATATTGGATCGAAGGGCTTATTAAATGTTAGTAGCCCTTCTACATCTTGTATGGGAAGCTCAAGCCGAACAGTATCAGGTTCTGAGATTGTAAGAAAGGCGAAACAGCCTCCCGTGCTTCACGGTAACCATCTTTGAACAATTCCATGTTGTTTTTCACTAACTTTTATGGTGGACACTGTACTGATACATATCTTTGCAGGTGTTCCTGATTTTGCTGAAGTTTATAACTTCATTGGGAGTGTCTTTGATCCTGAAACTAGAGGCCACGTGGAAAAGCTCAAGGAAATGGATCCTATAAATTTCGAAACTGTGAGTCAGAGATTACAAGCTTTCAGATTAATTGGTGTTCAAGCTTCTAACATTCTTCACTAATCACAAAGTATGTTTTACAGGTTCTGTTATTGATGAGAAACCTCACAGTTAACTTATCAAACCCTGATTTAGAATCCGCTGTAAGTGTTAAATTTGCGATAGAAGTTTGTGGTGACCAACTTTGTCAGAGTCTGAAACTATTTCACTCTCAACAATAAGTTGGCGTCACTTCTTTTATGATTCTTACAATTAAATGAGTTTTTTGTGCTTGCGTGATCAAATTTAATCTAACCTCAGCTAGTCCGATTGTAATGATGCTGCAGAGGAAAGTCCTCTCATCATATGACGTGAAGACCGAGCTCCCGAGCGTTGTTTCCCTTGTCAAGAACTCAACAAGCGACAAATCAGCTTAACAAAAATATCAGCCATCAGCTATCAAGTAAGTGTTTTTCCCTCTTTTTCATCTGACCTTTTAAATACAGTTCTAGAAAACATTTCACCATTAGTAGAAATCACATGAGTTAATGGTTAGATATAAGTCTAGTGAATAAGAGTTATATAGTTAGTCACAGTCCGGGATACAAGATATATACACTTAATGGTATTTTGAGTATTAGAGCCAGTTCAGGCTTCTTGCAAACTTTCTAGAGTCTTGCATAAGAGTTATATGGTTATCACCGTATTGGCAGGTTTACTCATCGGTTTTCCATGTTTAATAAACTTTGGTGTTATACGTCACTGGGAATCACAATCTTGTCAATGCATCATCATGTGGGAATTGTGTAAAGGGTCTTTGTTGTTATGAGGAGAAACGTAAGCCAAGTTTTCGAGCTATAGGGGACTTCCGCAGATTTTGACCAGGACTAGTTGGGTGAATGCTAGGTATAATATATGTAAGGGGTTTTCTACTAGTTGCGGTTCACGGTATGCTAGACAGCCTCTTTCTCATCCGCCGGTTACTCTTGTACAAAAATCTCTTCATATTTTTTGTTCAGTTGTTGTGTATGTGTCAAGGATTAAGTCCTAGGACTGATTGTAATGGTTCAAGATCAGTATTAAGTTATATAACGGCAACTCTAATTGTTTTGAAGTTGACAGCTTTCTCTATTAGGGGCTTGATTCAGAATTCTGTTTAAATAAGGAAATAGTCTATACAAGAAAACCAAGTCAAGTCTGTAAAAATATTTTGCAATTGTGCAGAGATTGTATTCCCCAACATCAATCAATAATTACTACTTGTTTTCTGAGTAATTTAAAAAGCCTAGAATCACAAACCTCATGGTTTTATAGGACAGAGTATCTGCCAGGTTGTGCTCGTCCAGGAAGGGAAAAGGCTTGATTAGTTATGTCTTCAAGAACACGCTTCAGTTCGGCTTTCGCTGTCTTAACAGATTCTTTGGTAGGCCCTTCAATGAACAAATAGAGCTTGCGTTCCCCAGGTCCCGGGATAAGTCCTGCATCACACCACTTACCTCTAGTGGTAATGGCGGCTCCACTCCACTCTGATATTGGACCTAGCGTTTCTTTGCGGGTCACTTTCCACAGAGTATTCGGTGGAAAATCATTGATTTCCAATTCTGCTTCATAGTGTTCAGGCATCGCATCAGCTTGAATCCTTGCAAGGTAATGTTGCAAGTTAGCGGCAGCAACCAGGGCTGCAGTGCGGCCTGATCCATCAGTAGGAGGGACACCTGGCTCGGTGGCTAGCCCACCACCGTTTGGAGGCAATTGGTTAGCAGTCACAGGCGCGTTAGAAGCAGCAGCAGAAATGGCGGCTATCTGAGCAAAAGGAGCCTGCTGCTGTGAGATATCATCACCAGCGTTTCTTACTACATCATTCTCATCTTCTGAGTCAGACTCCTCTTCCTCAAAGCCATACTCCTTCGCTTGTGCTTTCTTTGCTGCTTTCCTAACTTCTTCATCGTCTTCGTTAAATTTAAAGCCACTACCACCATAGCCAGTTCCATGAGCTTGCTCAGTACCCTGTTTTACTTTCGCCATGAACCCATCAGCTACTGCTTTTACATCATCAGGAACTGGCTGCTCAGATAGTTCCAGGGCCTTGACTAAATCTGGTGCATATTTTGCATCATCCTCGGAGATAAATGTTACAGCACAGCCTTTCCGCCCTGCCCTACCAGTCCTGCCAACACGATGCACATAGTCTTCATAGTGGTTCGGCGGATCAAAGTTTACAACCAACTCAAGCTCTTTCACATCTAGACCCCTCGCTGCAACACTTGTTGCAATCAACAAATTGCAGACATTGTTCTTAAATTCAGATAAAGCTGATTCACGATGAATCTGGTCCTTACCCCCGTGAAGAGATAGACAGGTGTAACCATAATTGGTCTTCAAATCATCGTACAAAGCATCACATTTTTCCTGCGAACGAAAAAACACCAAAACTTTTCCTTTTTCATACCATTCCCCAAGAAGTTCCAGAAGTCTTGAGAACCTCTCACTCTCCGGTCTGATTTCAACTAACTGAATTATATCTTTATTCACAACACTCCTTCCACCAACTTGTATTTCCACAGGTTTGTCCACGACTTTGCGTGCCAAAGTTTCAACTTGGCGTGGAAAAGTGGCAGAAAAGAGCACAGTTTGACGATCAGGTCGAATATTTTGAACAATACGAGTTATTTGAGGCTCAAAACCCATGTCAAACATACGATCAGCTTCATCCATTACCAAATATGTGACCCTTCGCAGATTGGTGATTTTTCCACTGCTTGTGCAAAGAACATCGATCATTCTTCCCGGAGTGCACACAACAATCTCAGTACCTCGCTTAAGCTCATTGATTTGCTGGGCAACTCCTGATCCTCCATACACAGCTACACATCTTACACCCAATGCCTTAGCAAACCTTTTGATATCGCTGTGAATCTGCTGAACAAGCTCCCTAGTAGGTGCCATTACAAGCCCAATCGGCCCATCACCAGCTTCAATGGGAGGCTGATCTTTGATATGCCTCAACATAGGCAAAACAAAGGCAAGGGTTTTACCTGACCCGGTGTTTGCAATCCCAATGCAGTCTCGACCGCTCATGATGATTGGGAGTGCTTGTGCTTGGATAGGCATTGGCTTTACATAGTTAAGCTTCTTTAGAGTATCCAAAATTTTGCTAGTTAGTCCAGTCTGGTGCCAAGCTTTGATGGGTCTTGGTACATCTTTCCCATGAACTTTCAGCTCCAATTCCTTTCTGTAAGCGTTAACTACATCCTGTGTCATTCTTGAGATATCCTTGACTTCGATATAGAAGTTCTTCCGGAAAGGTTCATACTCTATTTTGGAGTGGTCAACAAGAGACAATTTTTCTGCTTTTGTCTTCTTTACTCTCTTCATGAACTCCTCATCATCTTCCTCTAAACTTGGATCATCATCACTCTTTGGTTCTGAATAATCAGAATCAGAATCTTCACCTTGAATTATCCTACCAAGGGACTTATTCAAACCTTCCTTTTGCTGGTCACCAGTTTCTAGAGAACTACTCCTAAGCTTCTCAACCTCAGGTAATACCTTAGAATTCATATAAGCATCTAAAGGATCAATTTCCTCTTCTTCTTCAGGTCCATCACCTCCACTCTCCAAGTCTACCATCTTGGCATCTCCACCATCAAAATCCATATCTAACTCTGATTTAACTTCATCATCAGATTCTCCTTCAAGAGTCCAAGCCTTACCGGTCTGAGGACTCTTACTTTCACTTTCAGATTCTTCCTTTTGCCTCTTCAACTTCTGCCACTCCTGGACTCTTCTCCTCCGTTTATACAACTCCTCATCGTCTACTTCTTCTTCCCGGATTTTCTTCTCACCGTTGTCATCTTCATCTTTAATTCTCTCCTTCTCATGTTCTCTCCTCTCTCTGTCCCTTTTCCGATCGTTGCCTCTATCTATCTCATGTTCTCGTTGTCCTCTTCCCTTCTCCTCCCCTCGACGTTTATCCCTCTCGTCCTCTTCATCAAAATCCCTACTTTTTCTATCCCTCCGTCTCCGCATCTTCTCCTTTTCTTTAAGCTTCTCCCTCTCTTCAGAATCCTCTCTCTTTTCGAAATCACTTCTCTTTACTTTCTCACACCGTATCGTACGCGGCTCCTTCCTCCGCTCCTTACTGCGATCACGATCTCGGCGATTCTTCTTCAAAATATTATCCTTCTCCATCTCAAACACCAAAAATCGGGATACAATACTAAGGAATTACGCAGATTCAGTGACTTCAATCGCCAATTCAAAAATCTCCGGTGAAGAAGACGAAGAGAAACCGTACGTAATGAAGCAATGCCCGATTCTTATAGCAATGCCCGATTCGCCAATTCCTTAAATATTGGGCCTCACTGAAAAAGTAAACTAGTTGGGTTTATTGGGCTTTATTATAAGGCCCACAAATTCAGCAGTAACCCTAACAAAACCCTAGCATATATTAGTTCTTAAACTGCAGCTGAGAGTAAACCCTAATTTCTCAAAGAGTCTACAGAGACAGAGAGTGAGAGAAGAGAGAAACCTATCGAGACAAATGGCCGCCGCCGCTGCTCGTCCTCTCGTCACCGTCCAAGTTTTGGATGGTGACATGTCCACCGATCAATCCTCCACCGTCGTATTACCCGACGTCATGACGGCGCCAGTTCGTCCAGACATCGTTAACTTTGTCCACGCCCAAATCTCCAACAACAGCCGTCAGCCTTACGCCGTCTCAAAGAAGGCCGGTCACCAGACCTCCGCGGAGTCCTGGGGAACCGGACGTGCCGTGTCTCGTATCCCTCGTGTTCCTGGTGGTGGTACTCACCGTGCTGGTCAAGCTGCGTTCGGTAACATGTGTCGTGGTGGTCGGATGTTCGCTCCAACCAAGATCTGGCGCCGCTGGCACCGTCGTGTCAATGTCAACATGAAGCGTCACGCAATCGTCTCAGCCATCGCCGCAACTGCTGTTCCTTCGCTTGTGATGGCTCGTGGTCACAAGATCGAGAATGTTCCTGAGATGCCTCTTGTTGTGAGTGACTCCGCAGAAGCTGTGGAGAAGACCTCAGCTGCGATCAAGGTACTGAAACAGATCGGGGCTTATGATGATGCTGAGAAGGCAAAGGATAGCATTGGGATCCGTCCTGGTAAAGGTAAAATGAGGAACCGTCGTTACATTTCTAGGAAAGGTCCTCTTGTGGTTTATGGAACTGAAGGAGCTAAGATAGTTAAGGCGTTTAGGAATCTTCCTGGTGTTGAGCTCTGTCATGTGGAGAGGCTTAATTTGTTGAAGCTTGCTCCTGGTGGTCACCTTGGGCGGTTTGTGATCTGGACCAAGTCTGCTTTTGAGAAGCTTGAGTCTATCTATGGTTCGTTTGAGAAGCCATCAGAGAAAAAGAAGGGATATGTGCTTCCTCGTGCAAAGATGGTGAATGCTGATCTTGCCAGGATTATCAACTCAGATGAGATTCAGAGTGTTGTGAAGCCGATCAAGAAGGATTCGAAGAGGGCTGTTCTTAAGAAGAATCCATTGAAGAATCTGAATGTGATGTTGAAGCTGAATCCTTATGCTAAGACTGCTAAGAGGATGTCACTGTTGGCTGAAGCACAAAGAGTTAAGGCTAAGAAGGAGAAGCTTTCCAAGAAGAGGAAAACCGTTACCAAGGTAATCTTAATACTTCTCTTTTTCGTATATCAACCATTTTTGGATTGTCTTTGTTTAGTTACTGATTTCATTCTGATTTGTGTATCATTTGGCTTAACTGATAGTGAGGAGTTTGTGTATGACTAATTGTGAGGAATTTGTTTACATTCTATGTTAAGCTGTAAAATAATATGTTCCCTTCTTGTTTAGTGTGTGAGTGGATTCAAAATTGTAGTCTTTCTTTACTAGATCTTACCTGTTCTGTTCTGTTCTGAGTTGTGGTCTATTTGTTTCGTCTTGTAAATTGGTATTATTCTTTGTCTTGATATTGATTTTGGGTTGAGCTTTTTAAGCACTTAAATCTCTTAGCTCTTTCTTGTGAGATTTTTCTTCATTTGTCCTCTTTACTAACTCTCTCTCTTTACATCAGGAGGAGGCGTTGGCAATCAAAGCAGCAGGCAAGTCGTGGTACCAGACTATGATCTCCGACAGTGATTACACCGAGTTTGATAACTTCACCAAATGGCTCGGTGCTAGCCAGTAATAAATCATCTGCTGTGGAACACTTTCCATATTTTTAGTCAAAGATTTTGTTTTTTTTTTTTAATCTGTTTTGTCTTTTGGAGTCTGGATATTAAGTTGAATTATGAACAAGTTTCACTTTTCACATTTACATTTCTTTCTTTACCTTTATCAGTTACATTTATCTATCTTATGTCACTTGGTTTCCTTTGATGATACTTGTTATGTTATGAGCCAAATTAAAGACTTAAGGACTAAAGCTTATTATGCCTTTTCCTATTTGAAAATTCATCAAGGCTTAAAACTTCCAAAGGCTTTACCCAGGAAGAAACATCGATCCATTTCATGTGATCAAAATGTGAAGGTTAAGTCCAATTGATCTGATCGATCTGATCAAATCAACCATAAAGTGTTTGTGATCGTTAGTGAAGGTTGTTGAGTCCAATATTGATCAGTATACTCAAGGAGGATATAATGCCACGTGGTGTGTAATGTTGGGTAAAATTTGTATTATTTTGTTCATTATGGTAGTTTCTGGAAGGCGCGCCAAGGGTCTCTTTCCATCTACAAATCATAACCGTCCATCTCACGGTATCTTTAAAAGAAGACAGAAACTAGAAGCTTCTTCATTTGATCATCAGCCGATTCTATAAATTGCAAACTAAAGTAATGACTTCTTATTTGATCGATCACTGTGTTTGAGTATGTTCTTGTAATCACCTATTAATCGATAGGTAAGGAATACTGTTTGGGTTTATTAAAGTTTTTAACGATTTTGCAGAGAGAAGCGAATTTGAAAAATGGTGAATAAGAGTTACCCGGAAGTGAAAGAAGAGTACAAGAAAGCTGTTCAGAGATGCAAGAGGAAGCTCCGTGGTCTTATCGCCGAGAAGCACTGTGCTCCTATCGTTCTCCGTCTTGCGTAAGATCCTCTCTCTGGTTCCAGTCTCTTCTGTTTCTGAATAGTAGTTCCTTTTCGTTTGCTTATGAGTGTTGATGCGTTTGTGAGTTGTCTCTGAGAGTTTCTTTTTGCTGGGAAAATTTGAAGATGGCACTCGGCTGGGACATTTGACGTGAAGACGAAGACAGGAGGACCGTTTGGAACGATAAGGCATCCCCAAGAGCTAGCCCATGAGGCCAACAATGGTCTTGATATAGCAATTAGGCTTCTTGAGCCGATCAAGGAGCTGTTCCCCATTCTGTCTTATGCTGATTTCTACCAGGTAAAGTTTCAACATTGTGCTGAGTTTTTTAGCTGTAATACTGAAGCAAGGGATGCATCAAACTGTAGTAACTACTGGATTGAGGTAGAACCATAGACTCAAGGGTTTAGGGATGCCTGATCAATGATTGTAACTTCCAAATGTAGTAATTACGAGCTTGAAGTGATTTTGTTGGTAATAACCGCTAAGTTATGACCTAAAAAGGTTCAGCTGTCTGCTATTGGCCCTCTGGTTTTTGAACTACATTCACACAACTGAATCTAAAAGCTTACCTTGTATTTCCCATATTTTTTGGTTACTGTAGCTAGCTGGAGTTGTTGCTGTTGAGATCACTGGAGGACCCGAGATTCCATTCCATCCTGGTAGACTGGTGAGTCAATATTCAAATTCTCAGTTTTCTGGCTACCAATTCTTTGCTTCATCTCTTCGATTCGCAATTTCTTCGATTTAAATCACAACTCACTGATGATGGTCTGATACAGACACCACTGCTAAGTTTTGTTCATGTGATTAACTTAAACCAAACTTCATCTTTCAGGACAAAGTTGAGCCACCTCCTGAAGGTCGTCTGCCTCAGGCCACCAAAGGTAAAGCAGATCTTAGAAAATGCATTTAGTATTGAATTCGGGTAACAGATATAGATACATGTTCATAATCTGTTTTATTGTCATCCAGGCGTGGATCATCTAAGAGATGTGTTTAGTCGGATGGGACTCAATGACAAAGATATTGTTGCATTGTCTGGTGGACACACCTTGGTATGTATGCTGCATCCAAAAACAAAGACTTATGAGCTTTTCCCCAGTTTTGGCTCATACCATTCATATACTTTCAGGGTCGGTGCCACAAGGAGCGCTCAGGATTCGAGGGAGCATGGACACAAAACCCGCTCATTTTCGACAACTCCTATTTCAAGTAAGATCAGATTCTCTGCTTCTGCTTGCTCATACTTGAATTGGACCAGAGCTGAATCAGAAGCTCTTGAATCTTGATGGTTGTTAAACAGAGAGATACTAAGCGGAGAGAAAGAAGGACTTCTTCAATTACCAAGCGACAAGGCTCTTCTCGATGATCCTCTCTTTCGTCCCTTTGTTGAGAGATATGCGGCAGTAAGTTATTCAACTCATCATTTCATGATTCTCATTCGTCATACATATATGTCAATAGGATATATCACAGACTCGATTGTTACTCTCAGGATGAGGATGCCTTCTTCGAAGACTATAAAGAAGCTCATCTGAAGTTGTCAGAACTCGGGTAAATAACACATAAAACAATCTCTCTCTCAACATTTTGTTTTAACTTTTTTCTTATTGTCCTACTCCTAGTCGTAAACTTCGATTGTTCCTCAGAAACTTTTCAATTACAAACAGATTTTGTCTAAACCAGATATAATCACTAAACAGGTTTGCTGACAAGGAGTAATATGGAATATGGTGCCATGTCCTATCCCTTGAATTTGATTCTTGTTCCTTCACATTATCGTGTTGTAATCATATGAAAGACAGTAAAATCGAATGGAAGGATTTGTATTGTACGTATGCCTTGGGGTTGCTTGTAACTAATGAAATAAGACAACATCATCATATCTCTGACATTACAATACTTTGGGATTAGATGATAAAATTATGGATCCACCAAAAAATATAGTAAAAATCACCATCAAATCATCACGGATGATAAAAATGATGTGCAATTATGCATAGCATAGTAGAGACTAGAGATTGTTTCTTAAAATTTTATCTTTGTGAATTCAGAAAACCAAAGATAATCTACAATAGCTTTGATCTTAGAAGGATCATTCTAGTTTGTTTGTTTTGGAAAAATAAGATGGGAGATATTATTAATTTGCTTGAACTCAAAACGACGACGTAGCACAACTCCTTTCCACTCAAACAATCCATTTGGAGGCTTTACATTACAGGACACACTCTCTCTCCAATGGACCTAAAATGAACATTCTCCGACCGCCGACGTCATCACCGTCGTTTCCTCCATACCCAAACTCCGTTTCGTTAACCCCTCCGGTGTCTTTCACACTCCCCAACACTTCCATCACCAACGCTGGTCGTCCCACGCGTCGCCCAATTTTCCAACGGTCCGCCTCCGGCACTGCTAATAGCTCCGCCGGAGACCTCTCGTCGTTCTTGGGCTCTCCTTCAGAGGCGTATTCAACACACAACGACCAAGAGCTTTTGTTTCTCCTCCGCAATAGAAAAACCGATGAAGCTTGGGCTAAGTATGTTCAGTCAACTCATCTCCCTGGACCAACTTGTCTTAGCCGTTTAGTTTCTCAGTTATCTTATCAATCTAAACCCGAGAGTCTCACGCGCGCACAGTCTATCCTCACGCGCCTCCGCAATGAACGCCAGCTTCATCGCTTGGACGCTAATTCTCTCGGTCTCCTCGCCATGGCTGCAGCGAAGTCTGGCCAAACACTTTACGCTGTCTCCGTCATCAAATCCATGATTCGTTCTGGGTATTTACCTCACGTTAAAGCGTGGACAGCTGCAGTAGCTAGTCTCTCTGCTGCCGGAGATGATGGACCGGAAGAATCTATCAAACTCTTTACCGCTATTACGCGACGAGTCAAACGTTTCGGTGACCAGTCTTTGGTTGCTCAATCGAGGCCTGATACGGCGGCGTTTAACGCAGTGCTTAACGCTTGTGCAAACCTTGGTGATACTGAGAAGTACTGGAAGTTGTTCGACGAAATGTCTGAGTGGGATTGTGAGCCTGATGTCTTGACTTACAATGTTATGATCAAGCTGTGTGCGAGGGTTGATCGGAAGGAATTGATTGTGTATGTGTTGGAGAGGATTATTGACAAGGGGATTAAGGTTTGTATGACTACAATGCATTCCCTTGTTGCAGCATATGTTGGGTTCGGTGATTTGCGTACTGCGGAGAGAATTGTTCAAGCGATGAGGGAGAAAAGGAGAGATCTTTGTAAGGTTCTACGAGAATGCAATGCTGAGGATTTGAAGGAGAAAGAAGAGGAAGAAGCAGCAGAAGATGATGAAGATGCGTTTGAGGATGATGAAGATTCGGGTTATTCGGCTCGGGATGAGGTAAGTGAAGAGGGGTTTGAGGATGTGTTCAAGAAATTGCTGCCTAATTCGGTTGATCCGAGCGGTGACCCGCCATTGTTGCCTAAAGTCTTTGCACCAGACTCAAGGATCTACACGACGTTGATGAAAGGTTATATGAAGAATGGGCGTGTGGCAGACACAGCTAGAATGCTTGAGGCGATGAGGCGTCAAGATGATAGAAACAGTCACCCAGATGAAGTTACATACACCACGGTTGTGTCAGCTTTTGTAAAAGCTGGGTTGATGGATAGAGCACGACAAGTGTTAGCCGAGATGGCTCGGATGGGTGTTCCTGCAAATAGGATTACTTATAATGTTCTGCTCAAAGGATATTGTAAGCAGTTGCAGATAGATAGGGCAGAGGATTTACTAAGAGAGATGGCTGAAGATGCAGGGATTGAGCCAGATGTGGTTTCCTATAACATCATAATAGATGGATGCATTCTTATAGATGATAGCGCAGGAGCTCTAGCGTTTTTCAATGAAATGAGAACGAGAGGGATTGCACCAACTAAGATTAGTTACACAACTTTGATGAAGGCTTTTGCAATGTCGGGGCAACCCAAGTTGGCAAATAGGGTGTTTGATGAGATGATGAATGATCCAAGGGTCAAAGTTGATTTGATCGCTTGGAACATGTTGGTTGAAGGGTATTGCAGGCTAGGTTTGATTGAAGATGCTCAGAGAGTGGTTTCAAGAATGAAAGAAAACGGGTTTTACCCAAATGTAGCAACCTATGGGAGTCTAGCCAATGGGGTTTCTCTGGCGAGGAAACCTGGTGAGGCGCTCTTGCTTTGGAAGGAAATAAAGGAAAGATGTGAGGTGAAAAAGAAAGAAGCACCTTCAGATTCTTCTTCAGATCCATCTCCTCCGATGTTGAAACCGGATGAAGGGTTGTTAGATACGCTAGCAGATATATGTGTCAGGGCTGCGTTTTTCAAGAAGGCATTGGAGATAATCGCATGTATGGAAGAGAATGGGATACCTCCAAATAAGACTAAGTACAAGAAGATCTATGTGGAGATGCACTCGAGGATGTTCACTAGCAAACATGCTTCACAAGCCAGAATAGATAGGCGGGTAGAACGAAAGAGAGCGGCTGAAGCTTTCAAGTTTTGGCTCGGTTTACCTAATTCTTACTATGGAAGTGAATGGAAGTTAGGTCCAAGAGAAGACTAGATCAAGATATTGATCAGGCTACTCTCTTATACAACAATGTATACTAGGTTCTACCGTAGATGTAAGTCAGTAGGTGTGAGTGAACAACGACATAAACATTCAACACAAGTCCATGATATAATATACTAAGGAGTTTCTGGCATTGTGTAATATACAATTGACTGATTTTGATGATCAGGTTCATAATTAGATATGAACAATACTATGGCAATGAACATGCTAGATTTACTTAAAATGTCTCTGTTATAAAGGAAGGTTTTTACTCGGAATGCTAATCATCTTGACCTGGATGACTGACTCCGGGAATAAGATGAGGAGAGGACCTGTATATAAAATTAGGCAGTGTAAGAAAACTAAATTCAATCCTTTATCCATCTCTGATTGACCATTCTTGTTTCTGAGTTAGGTGGAGGAATATACCTGGTAAGTCTTTGGTCCCTTCTTGAGTAAATATCCGGCAATATTCAGATTCTCTAGGAAAGTATCGATGTCTGGAACTCGTAGGCCGATTCTATCAGCTAAACTATACATCTCCTGCAGTAAAATTGTTTTTGAGTAAGAAATTGGTCATAATATAATGTCAGAATCGTCATTAGCAAAATGTCGAGCAGAGAAGTTGTCCATACAGAAACAGAAAAACAATCTTTCTGCTGCAGCTCTGATTGCTTATCAAGAGCACTTAAGAAACGTTTGGCCTCCTTTTGTTGACTCATTCCTCCACTCCGACCAAAATCCACAATCCCATGTTCATCTATAAGCTTATCATACAACGATTCTTTCATTATTTCAACCACATCCTGTAAAAGCAAATCCAAGGACAAAAGTCAAGACAGTGGTCCAAGACAAGATCACAACAGTGCAGATCTTAATTGAAATTTTCATGCTAGCTGCTTACCTTATTCAGCAATAAAGATCAGAGGATAATACTTTTATACATGTATGGTATGCATGTAAATCGAGTTTATGGTCAAACATATGCATCTTGCTTACCATGGCGTCTTGGACTGTTATTTCTTCCCTTAAATCAACCCGAGCTCTAGCTTGCGCAAGCCTAACCAAACTTTCCAGTTGTCTTGCTGTTATTGGTGTGGAATCAGCAGATGTGTTATGGTCTCTCAGCTTCAAGTAAAACTTCTGTATGATCTCTCCAGCTTCCTTTGACATCCTGAACAGATAAAGAGATGTTATCCATAATACCTAATTTCACTCGCGAGCATTTAGTCATTGCAGCTGGGAGATAGATCAAATTACTTAGGGTTGACAAAAGTCCGTGCATAAGAAATATATTTCCTAAGCAATTGGCCAGGAACTGGAGAAAAGTCGTCATCTTTCTTAGAGTCCAACTGCAGTCTTGAAAGTAGAGAATTCCCTTTTGCATGCATGTTTGCATATCCAGCATTCTGTGATGCTGCATTTATATTAAACAAGAAGTCAAGAATTTATCTTCAATAAGGTCCTGTTTATACTAGCTATATACCTAACAACCAAAAGAAAGTGGACCTGGTTTAAACTTCTTTAGTGCAGGTGATGTTTCTCCACTTGCAGAATGAAGCTGCAAGAAAAATTCAAAGGTAAGATTTTATATTAATGGCTTTGAATAATCAATGCGTAGAGTCAATAATAAAATGCACTGTAGCTGTCACTGATTTTTTTTCCATCTACGAGAGATGAAAATCTGCTAATATCTCTGTGAGGCATGCTCCAAAACAATAATTTGGGATGGAGAGACTCACCGACATAATATGTTCTGAGACTTGCTTGTCGAGTAGCTCATCAGGTTTGTCAAGTAATATGAAAACTAAATCAAACCGTGAGAGAAGGGCAGCACTCATTTTTAAGTTTTCGTTTACAGTTTTGGCACGGCTGAAATGAGATCATCAAGACAATGTAAATATCAAGAACACACATTATGCTACTTTGGTTTTCTTATCTCAGTCTGTCTCAAACCTTGAAAGACGCAGGGCTATTCTGCACTTAACAGTGTCGTAACTATGATTCAAACACTCCCACAATGATGAGATAGCAAAAAAGTAAGAAAATTACTTGTAGTGGCCACCAACAGGATTTGCTGCTGCTATAACAGAAGTTCGAGCTGATAGACTAGCTACAAGCCCAGCCTTTGCAACAGAGACACATTGTTGTTCCATTGCTTCTAGCAACGCCTGTGGCAATGTGATGTAAGTAATGAGAAAAATGTCAACATCAGAAGTAATGACATTGCCGATAAGAAAAAACCTGATGCTCGGTGGTCATTTTATCAAACTCATCAATACAGCACAACCCACCATCTGCGAGTACCATGGCACCTGTTCACAGGGTAGCAC